ATGTGGTACATATACACGATGGAATACTACGCAGCCATAAAAAAGAACAAAATCATGAATTTCGCAGCAACCTGGATGGAACTAGAGTCTATAATACTGAGTGACCTCTCACAAAAACAAAGGTCCGGGTATCACATGTTCTCACTCATATAATGGACCTTGAACATCCAACCTAATACTATAAGAAAATGACCGACAGTAGTGGGAAACTACGGGAGGGGGGGGGAGGGAGATGGGATTAATGAGCAAATATCTGTCTGGGGATGGGGAAGTGCCTCTTATCAGTAGGGTGCCTAAATGAAACGTATGTGTATACCTAACCTTTAACTGTACCGTACAACATCATAATAAAAAATATTGTTTATAAAAAAAAAAGATGTCCATCCTACCCAAGACAATCTACAGATTTAATGCAATGCCCATTAAATTACCAATATTCTTCTCTGAACTGGAAAGAACAATACAAAAATTCATAAGAAACATAACCATGAATAGTCAAAACAATCCTCAGCAAAAGAAACAAAGTGGGAATGAAACTCTGTTATTTGTAACAACATGAATAAACCTGGAAGACACTTTGTTAAATGAAATAAACCAGGCACATGAAGACAAATACCACATGGTCTCTTATATGTGCAATCTGGAAGAGCTGAACTTACAGAAGTAGAAAGTAGAATAGTGGTTTCTAGAGCCTTGGAGGAGGGCAGATTGTGGCTATGCTGGTTAAAGGTTACAAAATTTCACTTAGGAGGAATAAGTTAGACAAGAGATCTATTGTAAATTATGATGGCTAAAGTTAATAACAATATACAATATAGTGGTGTTGAATATTTTTTCATATAACAAGGCTAGGGATCCACCTCAGATAGGGTTTTTAAACCCATGGGTTTCAAGTTGATTCAGTGTTGGAAGTCTGAGGAAAGACGAGGTGTGAGTACTGGAGTTGGAGGGAGGGTTGAGAATGTTTGTGAAAGTAGATTTCAAACGATTATTTAGAAGGGAAGGGCAGGATTCCAAGAATTTCTTTTTTTGTCTATATACTTCCTATTCCACATTCATGGGTTTTGCATCCATAAATTCAACCAAGCTTGAATTAAAAATATTATAAAAATGACAATTCAACAATAAAAAATACTACAAATACAAATGCAGTTTAAAGACTATATAGTAATTACACTGCATTAGATAGTATAAGAAATCTAGAGCTAAGTTAAAGTATAGGGAAGGATATCTAGTAGGCTATATGCAGATACTATGCTACTTTATGTAAGGGATTTGAGCATCTGCAGATTTGGTAGCTGCATGGGATCCTGGAACCAATTCTCCACTGATATTGAGGGACGACTACATTGTCTACTTAAAAGTTGTTAAATGAGTAAATTTTAAGTGTTATCACCACAGAAAAAGATAAGTATGTGACTTAATGCATAATTTAATTAGCTTGATTTAGTCATTCCATGATGTATACATGTTTCAAAACGTCAAGTTTTATGTCATAAATATATAACTTTTTATTGTTAATTAAAAATAAAGTCTGCATTCAGGTTGGGGAAGGGTTTTAATTCTTCAACACATCTGGCTTATTATGCTGGCGACTGGGGGAAAGGAGTGGGTTCTGGTCAGCCGATACTTCATCCTGGAGTTCTAAGTAGCTTATACTCTAGTGGCAAAGATGGTGGGATTATGGGTGGGATGACAGTGGTGTCTACTATAATTCCATGAATGAACTGGAGGGATTGGAAGAGAGAGAGGCTGAAGAAGTAGGCAAACTAAGAGGTAAGGGAAGGAATAAGATAAGTCGGGGGAGATGAAAAATCATAGATGGAAGAATTATCTGGGAACAAGATGATTCCCTATCTTCTAAGTGTGGAAGAAATATTCAAAAATGGCTGTAAATTTACATAAGTTTATGGGTTTAATGGAAAGAAGATGTGGGATTAGCATTTGATGTATTTGTTTTCTTGGTAACCGGTGGGAGATGGTCATCTCTAGAAGACGAGAGAGTGAGTTAGAAAAGCCTGGAGATTTGTAATTCACTAGGGAAAGGAAAGAGAGATTAAAGAATTTTGAGCAGCATTTAAATACTCAGCTAAGGTAAAGAATCTAAAATATGTGGTAACAGCAATTTTATGGTCTAGTAGACCCTCTCCAGTAGTACTTAGTAAAGAAGGTGCAGGGGGAGATGCAAATTGCAGGATTCATTGATTTATTGAATACATTATCTATTGAGCACCTACTATGTGTCATGCATGGGCTTGGGAGCTGGAGATAAATCTATGAATAGAGTAGATAAAATTTTCTGATCATGTAGAGTGTACATTCCAGAGAAGAAATGCAGAAAATAAATAAGTCCAATGAATAAAATTATAGTCTATTAGTACAGAGAATGGGGATAAAGGGTGCTGGGACAGAAGAGGGGTGAAATAGGGCATGTGGAAAAGTTCACTCTGAATAGATGTCACTTGAAAAAGGCCTTGAAAGAGATGGAGCCATGTGGGTATCTGGGAAATCATGTTCCAGGGAACAGTCAGAGGGAACAGCAAGTGTAAAGGTGCTGAGACAGGTATGTCCTTGGCATTTTTTTTTAAGTTGGAGTCTCACTCTGTAGCCCAGGCTGGAGTGCATGGGTCCAACTCACCGTAGCCTCTACCTACCGAGCTCAGGCGACCTCTCCACATTATCCTCCCGGGTAGCTGGGATTGCACCACCACATCAGGCTTATTTGTTGATTTTTCCAAGATGAGATCTTATTCTGCTGCCCAGTCTGGTCTTGAATTCCTAGGCTTAAGCAACGCTCCCATCTCAGCCTCCCAAAGTGCTGGGATGACAGGTGTGAACCACTGTGCCTGGCCAGTCCATGGCATGTTTGAAGAATGAGAAGAAACCTAGTGTGATGGCTGGGCAGATATATACAAGGAGTAAAATGGTAAAAATTAAGGTCAGAGATATAACAAGCCTCAGGATCTACCTTGATAGGGTTTTATAGCCCATGGCTTTCAAGTTGATTCGGTGTTAGAAGTTTGAGGGAAGATGAGGCATGAGAACTGGGGTTTGGGGGAGGGTTGAGAATGTTTGTGAAAGTAGATTTCAAATGATCATTGAGAAGGACATGGGGTTCCAAGAGTGAGCGGATAAATTGAGGGTGTTACAAAAAATAAGAATATCAGAAGAAAAATAATAGCATGGAAGGCAAAAGGAGGAAAGAACCTATAATAATAATAACTAATATTTATTTAGCATGTGTGATTTGCTAAGTATTTTGTGTTATCCAATTTTAATTTCCAGTCTGCCTGATGTGGTAATGTATATTATTATCCACATTTTGCAGGTGAAGAAATTGAGAGAGTAAGCCACATTTCCGCAGGCTGCCAGTCAGTGGTAGAACTAGGACTTGAATTCCATCAATATAACTTTTGTGATCCTTTTCTTGTTGATCTCATAGCTTTATTAAATTATAAATGACATATAAAATTGTATATATTTAAAGGGTATAACTTGATGTTTTGATATGCACAGACACTGGGAAATAAGCACTCCGTCAAGCTCATGAGCATATCTATCATCTTATATAATTCCATTCTCTCTCCATTCCTCTCCGCTCTTTCCCCCCCTTCCCATCTGTCCCTCCCTCTCCACTCTTTCTTCCCTCCCTCTCTTCCTTCCTTTCCTTCTTCCTTCCTTCCTTTTATGTGAATACACTTAAGATCTACCTTCTTTGAATGCTGCTGAAGAAACCTGTATGATAAGGATAAACACACGTTGAGAGGGACTGGATATTGGGAGGTCATTAGCAAAAGTAGGTGGGATTGTCAACAATGCTTTGTGGTAGTTCAGTGACTGTAGATTTTGAAGAAGTGGAGGCAGCAGGTATTGGATTGAGGTGACAAGGGGATTAGGGATAGTGATGCCAAGATGATTTAGAATTTTTACAAAAGACAGAGAGATTTACGGTGGTTTGTAGCCTGAGCAGAAGGTACCCGAAGAAAGTGACGAAGTGAAGATAAAAATGTGAGTTGAATAAAGTATGAAGCAAAGTCAAGGAACAAGTTTAAAGGGCTAGAATTATGAAATAACCTTGGAGAGGAAGAGCTTCATTTTATAGGAAAACAACTGAGGCCCAGAGAAGTAAATGGTGAACCCAAGGTCATAGAGCCAATTAAATAGTAGCTCGGGGACCAGAGTCCAGATTTCCTAATTGCCAGACAGGTGCTTTCCACTAGTCCACCCAGTCACTTTTGCTGAATCATCGACTGCTGGTTACTTATCCCCAGTCTAGAGAGGGTTATTGCAGTTAATGAATAAATTCGGTATAGCAAAACCCACGGTTCTACAGAAACAGTAAAGACATCTTGACCTTCAAGTTTCCTTCACAATTCCCTTCCTCACAGCTCCTTAGCACTGAGTACTGACTTTTCTTGATTGTAAACTGCTTCAAGGTACTGAAGGTTTCCACTGATGCTGAGAGGGAACTCAGGTGGAGAGAACTAAGGTCACCCTCAGGGAATTTCTAGCTAAATGAGGCCTCAGTAAGCCTTGAAATCAAAATGCTTCTGGTAGGTAAATGGGGTACAGATGGGAAATCAAGCCAGGGTAGGCATGATTTAGAACAGTTGTTATTGATATGACAGATCCTAGCAGGCAACCTCATGAGAGCCTGGAGTTTAGTGGCAGGCACAAACAGGTGAAAAGAATAATTGCCTGTTTGACTTTCACATTTCCTGAACCTTGCCTGTGGTTATTATGGCCATAATTTGGGTCATGTATATTCCAGGGAGATTTTTTTAAATTTAAGAATCTAGATTATTTTTTTGAGGTGCAAACAATATTCAACATATTTCCATGAATTAGTTTCCATGTAGAAATTTTGATCAAGATACAAAATTTTTACATTATATGAACTATTATAATTGTTTAATGCTGGAGGAATAATATTAGTCTTTTTCTAACACTCATGTTATCTTGGACAAACATTGAAATTCTTGATTAATGTTTAACTACAAGAAGTACACTTGGTTCTAGTAAAGGATCAGTTTCAGGTTCAGACTGAGATGTCTTGATGATTAGAATTCAGTCACCAAGAAGAAACCCCCAAGGCCAAGGGTATTGGATATAACATAAAGTGGAAGCTGTACCTGACCTCCAGAGAATGTGGACTGGATATCAGATCTTAATCTTCTCTTATCTTACTACAGAAATTTGGATGGAGAAGCAGTATTTTCCTCAAAGAGAAGTGGAGCGAGGAGCTTATTTCACTAGGAATCACACCATTTTGGAAGGTACTCGATTCAAAAGAGCCATTTTCCAAGGGCAATACTGTAGAAATTTTGGTTGTTGTGAAGACAGAGATGATGGCTGTGTCACTCAGTTCTATGAGATGAATGCAGTGTGTTACTGTGATAAATTCTGTGAAAGGGAAAATTCTGATTGCTGTCCTGATTACAAGTCCTTTTGCCGCGAAGAGAAAGAATGGCCTCCTCACACCCCTCCTTGGTATCCAAAAGGTAGGCTTGGGATGTGTTTAAGTGTAATCCTAGTTCACAGGAACAAGATCTGACAAACTCTGTTTTTCTTTCTTTCTTTTATTTTTCTTCTTTTAATGAAATTAAAAAAAATTATTGTGATTGGCAAGATAAATTTCTTTGAATTGTTAAAGTGCTTTAGTTTGGAGCAGTTTCCTGTGTCTTATCAGCACCTTCAGGGAATTTCTAATTTCACAGCCCTGAGTGCTGGTGGGGATACTGTTTTAAACACTCATTCAATTTATGTAAGGATTACTTAAAACTGTCCCTCCCTCCCTCTGTCCTTCTCTTCTGCTCTCCCCTCTCCCTCCCTCACCCCCCAGCCTTTTTTGTCTGTCTATAATGTATTGGCATCAGGATTTTCAAGAGCTTTTATTGTTATCTCTTAGAGAGTCTCATGAAAGACACAAGCCTGATTATCTGCAGATCTGCTTATTATTTCTTGGGTCTAATGGACCCTCTTGCATTAGAACCTATAGTAATGCCATTAAAACCAGGACAAAAACAAAAGAAAGTCAGTCACTCTCCCTAAGCAATACTAAATATGATATTTATTTATTTATGCTTGTTTTGCCAATTGGGAACTTTTAAAATTATTAAAAAGGAAGGAGGACTTCATACGGAGTAGCTGAACAAAATCTAAGGTTGACTTGCAACATAAGGAGAATAATGATATTTACTATATTGTTCTAATTATAGGAGAATGGCTATTGATTTTGAGCAATTGATGTAACCAAGTTCTGGAACAAAACAAAATTCTACAAGTGCACTTAAATGGGAATATATTTTTCTGTTTTCATTTTATCAAATCTCCTCAGCAGAAATTCAGAGTTAGTCGGGGTTCTGTTCCGCTACTGTGAGTGAAGGCGACTGAAAATTATAGTCAGAAGACAATCTAGGACAAAGAATTGGAATTCTTTTTTTCAAAATTCAGGTCTCATTTAAAAATCCAGATGCCGTTGACCTTCTTCTCAATAATGTCATCTTGTCTGAAAAATTGATGAAATGTTTCTTTAAAATACATGTGTCTTATTTGATATTTTCCATAGAATTGCCATCATCTGAAGCCTTTGCATTTTACCAAGACAGTTCAGGAAACATTTATTTAATCTACAAAATGGTAGATAATATACTAGAAACAGTAGATCTAGTCATTCCTCAATAATTATTCCTTGAGCCTCTCTGCTGTTCCAGACATTATGCTGGGACAACAACGGAGAATAGAAAAAAGATGAGATTTTATTCTCATGGAAACCACAGTCAAGTTGAGGGAGGGCTGTAAGATATCTAGTAATTGCCTGATACCGTGCAATTGCAAATTGTTTTACATGCTCTAAAGGAAACATTTAGGATTCTGTAAGAAAGTGTAACAGGTAACAGAATACATAACATTAGCTTGAAAGGGAAGGTCAGTGAGGGAGGATATTTAAACTGAGACTTGGAGGAATGAGGAGTGAGCTGAAGTGGGAGGAGTCAACAGAAGAGTGTTGCAGACCCGAGTAGGGGGCTAAGCACAGCCTAGGACCAGGAAGAAGCCACTGCTTCTGTAGAGGGAGGACTAGGAACGGGTGGGGGTGACATGAAATGAGATTGGAGAGGTAGGTAGCGGTTGTATTGTGTCATGCTTTACAGACCATGTTAGGGACTTAAGAATTTCCTTGTTTATGAGAACTCACTAAAGCTGGCTTTTTGGATATATCGTCAGTGCAGTCACAGAGGACCCTATGCTCCAGAGTCTCATGCTTGGTTTAAGGCTCTGAAGTTGCCCTCAAAATTCTTAATAATGTTTGAACAAGAGCCCCACACTTTCGTTTTCCACTTGGCTGCATGGATTCCATAGCTGGTTCTGAGTAGGGGAATCAGATTTGCATTTTTTAAAAATCATGCTGAAAGACTTGATGATAGGAACAATGAAAGTAGAAAATGAGGTCATGGGATTGTGGTAGTCTAGAATGTGCTTCTCAAGTTACTGCAGTAAATGACCACTTCTTAAAAACTTTTCAATCCCTCATGGACTAACACTTCTGTAAAAGAAAAATCATGTGCTCAAATAGGCACATCAACTTGCTACAAAAGTTTTTATACACTTATTCTCATTTTTTAATATATGTAATTCTTCATAAACCAGTAACAAACATTTCTCAGGCCTGCAATGGTCTGTGGAACATTTTGAGCAGTACTGGAGGGTAAGGAAATTGCTGCTTGAACCGGTTTTATAGCGGTATAAACTACTGCTACATGAGGTAAAAATAGAGGCTTCATTAGACATGGTATTGCTCTTGAGGACCATACACAGGAGAAAGACACAGGAGATAAATTCAGTAAAATGAAGTCATAGCTATGGGAACATGTACTCAGGAACGAGTATGGTGGAACCCAGGATATGAGAACTGAGTCACAAAAGATGAATGGGTGTTATCTAGGGGACAAGATGAGGGATGATAGGCTTCAATATTTCCAGCTGAGAATATAGTACATGTAGGATGAGTTTATAAGAAACTGCATGGTGTAGAATTGGTAATTAAGTAGTTGGGAAAAAGAAGTCAGGAAGGATTTGATTGAGGGCAGTCTTGAATGGCAGTGTGAGAGGTTTATGTATAAGAGGATTCATGCTGACATTCTCAATCTAAAGAAATGATTTGTTTGACCTATAAAGACAGTATTTGTAAAAAAAAATAAATATGTTGAAATTTTTTTTTAACCATCTCTGGGCAGAGATGGTTGAGTTAGTCAAGTGCTATACAGGGCACACTAACATCACTGGTCCATGAAGTCTTCTGTCATATATGGATGGATTTCTTTCCCTCCCTCCCCCCATCCTTTCCTCCCCCTCCTTCCTTTTTGCTTTATTTTCCTCCCCTCCCCTCTTTTCTTGCCTCCTTCCCTTTTTTCTTTCTTTCCTTTGATGTCTATGACCCATTCCCATCTTTCTCCATAGATAATCTGCCGTTTTAAATTTTCATGTACCCTTTTCACCCTTTCCCCGTTTATTCCAAGGATACTGGCAATGCTTGTGGCTCCAGCATTTAGCCCGAGATTAAAAAATAATAATAACTGGGCGCAGTGGCTCACACCTGTAATCCCAGCGCTTTGGGAGGCTAAGACGAGAGGATTGCCAGAGCCCAGGGGTTTGAGGCCAGCCTAGGCAACTTGACGAGACCTCACCTCTCCAATAAATAAAAAAAATTAGCCAGGCATTGTGGTGCATACCTATAGTTCTAGTTATTTGGAAGGCTGAGGTGGAAGGATCACCTGAGCCCAGCAGGTCGAGGCTGCAGTGGCCCTGAGTGTGCCACTGTACTCCAGTCTGGGCAACAGAGTGAGACTCTGACTCAAATAACAACAACAATAATAATAATAATACAAAATATGGGAATCTTCTTCTTCTTCCTCTTCCTCCTCCTCCTTTTCCTCCTCCTCTTTCTCTTCTTCTTCCTTTTGCAATTCTAGTTAGGATTAAAGACAAGTTCTGTTTAAGAATAACTCCAAGAAGTTTTAATATTTGATGTTCACATTAAAAACCAGTCAGATTTGCTTCAGCCTCAAAGAACATGTTTATGTAAAATTAAATGAATGTGGCACTTTTTTTCCTAAATGGCTTTACATAGACAATGTTATGCTAGAGGCCTCATTTCATTTCTTGATTTTCTCTGACAGCATCGTGTTTTAAGGATCTATTCATGTCTTAAATGCATGCCTAGTTCTCTATGATGTTCATTCATCTCAATTACCTACCTGTTCCCTCCATGGTGGATGGATACCTAAGTTGTCTACAGATTTTTGTAACCATAGCGAAGTCCACAATGGACAGCCTCATGCAGGCCTTCTTTTGAACATGTATAATACAGACAAGCCGGTGATTGTTGGATCCAGGGATGCAGTCACTTAACCTGAGTCCTGTCAGATGGATCTCAGGGGTAGCTGCATCAGTTTCTACTCCTCTGGCACTATGTGAGGACCCATTTACCCCACATCTAACACTTGGCATGATCCAGATATGTAATCTTGACTTGTATGAACAGTAAAACATTATTTCTCATTGTCATTTCAATTTGCATTTCTCTGATTACAAATGAATTTCAGCCTCTCTTCATACACTCATTAAATATTTGACTTTCTTCTCCATCAACAGCCTTGGAATAGGTCTTCATACCTGCCACATCAAGTCCACTTATTCACTCTACTTTTTTGAGTGTGACTCAGGACATGTAGACATTTAATCTTCTGTAAACAGTTTTTGAACACGTTTATTTAGTTCCTCAAAAGATACAACTAAATTTTTGAATAGGATTGCATGAATTTATAGATTTGTTTGAAAGTAATTAGCCGGGTTTGGTGGCTCAGCCTGTAATCCCACGCCTTTGGGAGGCTGAGGTGAGTGGATTGCCTGAGCCCGCGGGTTCGAGACCCACCTGGACAGCAAGACCTCATCTCTACAATAAATCAAAAAATCAGCTGGGTGAGGTAGTACGCGCCTGTAGTTCCAGCTACTTGGAAGGCTGAGAGGGAAGGAATGCTGGAGCCCAGCAGGTTGAGGCTGCGGTGGCCAGGAGTGGCCACTGCACTCCAGTCAGGGCGACAGAGTGAGACTCCAACTCAAAAAAAAAAAAAGAAAGAAAGAAAGTAATTGAACACTATAATGATAAGATGTCTTATATAAGAGTATAGGAAGTCTCTCCACATATTCTGATTTTTAAAAAATGTCCTTAAATAGGTTTAACATTTTTCTCCATAATGTCCTTATAGACTTCTGGATACTTTAAATTTTATTTTGAAATGCATACTTATTTTGAAATTAAAAGTAAAATTTAATAATTATTTTGAAATGTGTATTCATTTTGAAATGCATAAATACTTTAACATTTATTTTGAAATGCATATTTTACAAAATATTTTTTGTAGTCGGTGGTTGTTGTGGATAAAATGTTATTTATTCATGACAGCTCATATACTATGTGGCAACCTTTCTCAACTCTCTCATT